ATACCAATTATAGTTAAGGGCTTAGACACCTAATCGAATAGTATTCATCCATTATCTGTTTAACTTCATCAATAGGTAATCTCTATGTTTCTGCTAACTCACTCAGATCAAAACTGAGCTTGCTTTTCTTTTGAGGAAGGGCTGAAGTGTCACCAGGTGCAGAGGAACTTCTAGCTTCAGAGTTAAAACCTCCTATGGAGAAGGAAGCCTTTTTTTTCTTTGATTAAGTTAGATAACATCGTAAGAATCAATTTCACTATTTGTTCCTTGAGGAACCTCTTGAGCGAACTCCCCCTCAAAACAAGAATCCGAATAGATAACGTTTATTGGAACAACATAAATGTCACACCCCAAAACCGAGAACGTCGGAAACGTTCTGGGGCGGAGGACGTCATGTAATGTATCACAACAATGCAAAGTAGTAAACAAGCAACAACATCATCCATTGCATTAATAGTATAATTTTAAGTACATGTGAGTTCTTTCATAGTATATATCTACATAATGAATATTCAAAATAAAAGACGAGTCTTGAGTGCTCCGTCTTCACAAAACCTGGTCGTCGTACCTGTCTTATTTGTGACCTGAGAATACAAGTTATTTTGAAAGTGAGTATCAGCAATAAAGCTGGTGAATTGATAAGTATTTATGTGACTTTGATTTGTAAAACTGTAAAGAAATACCTGTAAATGTTTGAAGGAAAGTTTGTTCCAATGAACATGTTTGTAAGTAATTGTATATGTTTGAAAACCCTAGAAAATCCCATATTTCCTACTAGTATAAAAAGTAGCCTTCTACCAAGACCCGACTATTTTGAATGTTTGCTTTTAGAAATCCAATATTTGACCATAAGTGGGTGGTAGTGTAAAAGTCCCAAAACTGAGATGCAATAGTATTTTTCATGTCTAAAATAGTAGATTTGTATATGTAATAAATCGTTAAGGCAATTGATAACCCCGTAAATCAACGTGTTCTTAATACTCCATGTGAGCTTTATAACCATACTAATGACCCAGACTGCCTGTAACAACGTTCTTCAGGAGTTGGAAAGTTATGACGTTTGTCACCCTAGGCCTGCTGGCCTAGCTGTAGCTAACAACATAGGTGTGGGATTGTCGATCTCGTATAGATCTATACACAAGTATCACGCTCCACCTACAAGGGATTATGCTATATAATACAAGACCTAAAATGCATACTCGAAAGTACATGAAATGTCTCACAAAATTTAGTATAAAAAAGATTTACATATTAAAATGTCAATTTGTTCTTGTATATGAAAATATTTCTTGGATATAGTACTTGAAGTATGTAAAATTTCATGAATAGCTAATAAACTATCTATGGAATCGTATCTCTTCATATAGTATGTAATGTGTTTGTATTTCATATAGTATGTAATGTATGAGTATAGACTCATGAATGAACTGACTCTTGTGTGATTCCTTATATTTGGAATAGTAAGTAGTATCTCCTAACTATACCTATTATGGTTACTAGTATTGTACGTGTATAACCGAAGTATGCCTTTTCTACCCGAAGGTACTGAACCAACTGACGGAACTTTTATGTCTATGTATGTATACATGACATATATATATATATATATATATATATATATATATATATAATATATATATAACTAATATTTAGACAAAATTCGGATGAATAACCGATGCCCTAAGGCCACATCCTAACGAGGAAAATGAAATAAAGCAAGCTAGCCGTCCTAAGTCCTTTAAACATTACTTATATAACTATGCATATATGGGCATGCATTCTACAATATAAAAGTATAAAAGAAGTTTTGTAATACCTTTGAAAAGATTAATAACGAATAAATGATGACTTGATGTCAGTTTATAAAATGATTTGAAAGTAGTTTGTTTGATAGGAATAGTTTAAAATATAGGAAATTCTTTGTTTGAAACACAATCGTAACAGGGTTTGAAAGGAAACAGACAGT